TGTTTTTATACATGATTAACACAATCAACAGTGCCATAATATTTGATAATGGCAACGAGTACTTCTAGACCTATAATTATAATACGTCTAGAAATATGTACAAACGTAGCTGACACTTAAACAAGTACCTACATTATCTGTTAAATATATTTCAGCACAATGAGAATAAGATTGATAGTTTAATTTAAATGATTAAATTACAACAGATAACGTACTAAAAACAAAAGTTCTTAGGTAACATAAAAAAAAAAATATACAGTCGAATTGAGAACCTCCTCCTTTTTTGAAGTCGGTTAATAACGTTTGTTCATCATATACGACTCGTGCAAAAGTGGAAATATATACTTGGAAACTTTTAAATTTTGACGAAATAGACTACTGAGGGGAACTTATATATACCTCAGCCTATGCTTGTCCACTGCTGGACATAGGCCTCTCCCAATGATTTCCAGCGGGGACGGTTGATTGGTTGATTGAGGGGAACTTATTTACAGTTATTAGTTTAGATACTATAGAAAAGATTTTTTTTTCTTTGTCTATGACCAGATCACAATCAAAAGTAAAATTGCTGAGACTAAAACTAATCATATGATTATGATTTAAAAGTAGCAAAAAATTCCATGTCTAATGAGTATGTTGTTGTATTTAGCTATACTCGTATATTGGTCGCATGCAATCAAGCGTAGTGCAATTAACTGGGCACTTTGGAAATTAAAAATAGTATATTTGGAAGTGAATGATAACTGTCTATTGTTGTAAGTCTACTATCCAGGGCAGTTATTTTTTTCTGAAATCTATAACACACTTTGATAATCTGCTGATGCAGACGAGACCGTTGGCTTTCTATCACAGTTGTCAAAAACAAAACCTGACAACATACGTCTCAAATACCAAACAAACATTTTTAAGTGAACACACTTTATCTACATTTTTATCGCCAAATGCGGCCATGGTCATTACACCAAAAAGTTTAAGAATAAAATATGTGTTTAGGTAACTAAACTAACGAGGCTATTAATAATAATCTAATCAATAGTATATAAGCAAGTTATTAACCTACCGCTAAAGGATACAGTTTTACTGCATGAATGGCGTAGTGGTTTAAGTGGTCACCTCGCCGCTTCCTACAGCGCTGAGTGTTGTGGGTCCGATCCCCTCATGGGACAACACTTTGTGTGATTCATAAATTGTTGTTCAGAGTCTAGGTGTTCATTGTGTCCGTTTAATGGTTGTTAGTAAAGTCCCCCGCGACACAGGATATATTCAGTGCAGGAGTAATCTTTAAAATAAAATTGGGTTGCTGAACCGCGCAACTTCATCCCCGTCTCTCGAAAGCAATACATTTGCCCCATTTTTTGCAACATTCGTCGTAGCGTGATTATATATAGCCTTCCTCGATAAATAAGCTATCCAATACTAAAAGATTTTTTCAATATGAACCAGTAGTTCCAGAGATTAGCGCGTTCAACTAAAACAAACAAACGAACTCTTCAGCTTTATGATGTTAGTAGTGAAGTATAACTATAGATCTAGTTTTGTTAATATACATTTTACCGCAGAATCCAATCGCAGGCTGATTTAGGCAATAAAACCATAGACAAATCCAATTTTATTGTTATTAGCACTCTACGTATTAGTTAGTCTACGTCCATGTTACTGTATATCCTGTATCTAACCTTATCTCCTATTTAAAATCTCCTATTTTAAATATTTTATATTATTACCCAGTAAATAATTTAGTATGAAGGAGGAGCTGAAAAGTTAGACATTGTGTAAGCCCAGTCGCTAGTTGTTTTAAGTGTTTAATAGAAAACAGTGACTGCACAGATGGGTATAGTGTTTATATTAAGAAATACCACAGGAAAGCGGTTGAATATCAATTCAGCCGTTTTCCTTTTATCGATAATACTTTAACATTTTATAGGTATCAAACTTACTGTTGTACAATGTTTTATTACGTTAAAATATTTTATTACAAATAAATCGACCAATTCTGCCGAGTACTGAACAAAACCATTGAAGACGTTCATCATTTTGAGTACATATCATTAAAGAAACCCATAGAGTTACCTAAACATTAAACGACCACAGAATGTCTAAGTTAGTTTTTTATAATAATTGTGGGTCAGTAAGTACCTACTTTGGATTCTGGAACGACTAAAGTGGTTTTTAACACACGAGGTAATTAAGATTACTAATTGGCTCATTTTAAAACGATTGATTTTTATGTTTTGAACATATTTAACCTTATCAATTTATATACGTTATACCAACAGTAATTCGGAAACCTAACGATGTTTTTTCCATACAAAGAAACTGTCAGTTTTCGATAATCAAGCGCACATCACGACTGAAAAACAGGCCCTAGTTACAAGTGCCTATAAAAATATTTATACGTTGTCAACCCTATCCGAACTTATCGACCTGAGGGCCAAGTGCGAGTATATAATACATCTACTCAATCGTCACGGTGTCAGCGTTTGGGGTTGCGGTTGGTTCGCACTGAAATCTGCACCAATCGCAACGCCGCACGCTCTTGCTGTTGAGAACGCGTTGATCTAAAATAAACTTGCACTAGGCCCTCAGAGGGCCTAGGAACATCGAGTCTCTGTATTACGGAGACTCGATCCCACAGTCAAACCATCAATCCGGTTTGGGGGACAATTATTGTAACTACATGTACACAAATAGAATTGAACTTAAATAAAAAAAAAGGTGCGGTATGTCATTTGTCTCAGGGTATCTACAAATTAGACTATCAAAGAGTTCTTTTAATACTTTTAACTGTTTATTCTCCTTCAACAAATTGTAAACTGTGAAAACTGTCTGAAGAATCTTGGCGAATAAATAGAATTAATAACACACAGTATACAATAGCATGTAAACTTTGTTTTGGCACGTATTTCGCAACATTCGGAGTTGCGTAATATCGACTGAAAGGATTAAATCACGTCTAACTAAAGACATTATCGTAATTTAATCACTGCATCTGGATCCATACGTATCTTGAACAATCAATTTTAAGTTGTGTAAAACATTAACGGAGTCAGATAAATAATAGGTATTGATTAACATAACATGAGAAGTTATAAATTAATAATTAAAAAAACCTACTCAAAAGTTTCTTGAAGTTACATTTAAAACAGAACATTTCAATCAATTTGCGTAGTGGTGTAAGCGGTCACCTCGCCGCTTCCTATTGCGGTGCGGCGGAGTGTTGTGTGTGTGGGTTCGATCCCCCACATGGTACAACACTTTGTGTGATCCATAAATTGTTGTTCTGAGTCTGGGTGTCCTTTGTGTCCGTTTCATGTATGTTCGTAAAGTCAACGCGACAATAAAAAGCGAAATAAAATAAAAAAATACAAAAAAATAATAATCCTAACTAAAGGAAAATAAGTAGGTAGGTATATGCGTTTAGTTCAGTTTAAACTATGATGACGCAGACAAACACATAATAAATAAAGTGTTAAGTTATACCCTTTCTTATAAAGAGTTATTCTTTAATTTAAAACAATAAAATATCGGGTTGGTTATTTACCAATCATATTTACTCTAGAAATACAGTATTAACAATTTGGCATAACAGAAATACTGTATTATGTATGTTAATTTTAGTTTACCATTCTAATAGGCCGTTTACACGCATGGCGAGCCTCGACAAGTGTCCACAAACACAAGCGTGTAAACGGGGTGTTTAGCTCGGCTCGCGTATGCTCGTCGTCGATCGGTACTAGTGTCGGTTTTTGAACACAGATCAAAGGAAACTCGCGGCTATCGTTTGCAACGTATTGTTCCCTTTTTTTCCTGTGCGGAAATCCCCTCGGTCCTACTGCTCAATTTGATTTTACAAGTATTGCCGAGTTGAGCAGTCGGGAATCAACATTATGTCTCAATGCTCTATATTTTGAATAAAAATATGTCCACGTCCGCTATGTCTGCCTGTCGGGAACACAATAGCACAGTCGCAAGCGTGTAAATAGCATCCAAGCGTTTGTAAAGACTTGTTTGCCAAGTTTGCCTAACTAGGAATACGATGGAGATCGAGTTGAATGGGAGAAGCCGAGCATCGATCAAGTGGCGTGCAATTGGAGAGGACTATGTCCAGCTTTGGACTGCGATAGGTTGATGATGATTCTAAGATCTGATCGGGATCAATCAAGCAGAAGTTAAAACTAGTACCTATTAGATAAATGATTCACAATCGAATATCTAGGCTTCTTTCATTTCAGAATTAACCATTGATGTTGACGTGAATGATGATGAATAACCCATAACTACACCAATCAACTTGAAATAAATTAAACTTGTAAAGATGATCGATCTATGGTGTATATAACATTGCTACCTACTTCCTCATTGGATCACGAAGTTTGCCAATCATGCTTCTTTACGTTTAAATTTTATTTCATATTTTTAAAAGACAGTCAATTTTAAAAAAAATCCTGAAATGACAACCTATCTTCTGCCTTCAAGCATTTAATTAAACACGTTTACAACTGTTTGTTGTTAAACTGTTCAAAAAACGCCATTTTATTCGGTTCAAGTGCCTAGCTGGTATGTTTTTCATCACGACTAATTTGTCGAACAAAAGTAATAGGTACTGTTCACTGTGACGATTAAGGAAATAAAATGTAATAAGTACCTTGATTCCAAGATTAATGCTATCATTATCATGATCAATTGTGAAATGTGAACATGCACTTAGCTTTTTATCTTTTTTATGTAGCCTAGGTATATCAATCTGTCAAAAGAGGTGGGTATTTACATTTAACGTGGAATCAATGTATTTCCCACTCCCGCTGTCAACTAATGATAGATTAATAATTTAATATGTTAAGAAACTAGTATTCAAAAATAATATTTTAATGAACGAAAACGTTATTAATGTCAGAAACTCGCTAGTCTGTTCCATAATACCATACATAAAATCAACAATGCTGTTCACCATCAAATATGTTTAATATAGTATAATAAGAGTATATTTAAAAGGTACTTACTTTCCTGTTAAATAGTCGGATATTTGGCTCACTTTCCAAAATATCTGGAAGAGCAGCATAAGCACCGTGTGGTTAATCCATGTGTAAAGCTTGTAACAGCTATCCATTGCGCCGGCGTCTCCCGTATCACGCTCCCACAACACCTTCGGAAAAGATACCTCACTCATCCGTCACGCGTCTAGCTCCAAGGTAATTCAAATTTCGAGTAAAAACAAATCACAAGTCTATGTCGCACTACACCGAATACAGTTGAAATAAAAATAAGTGTTCTTTTTATCGGCGGGAAACGTGCGGTACGGTCGGAGCACTAGAGTAATTTGGTGCTTATCAATCGAACGGCTCTCGACCAAAAATAGCGACGATAACACAGCGAGCTACTACAAGTTTGACCGCGCTCGAACGCCGGTGCGCGCGAACTGATGGCCATGAGAATTCCACTACAAGTCGGCTCGTCGAATGACGACAGATGACTCAGTTGTATCACGTTGCAGATATCGGGTATTTGTTTCTCAGCTCGATTTGCGAGGAATGCAAGACAACACCCAACTGAGACCGACACAATGTGTCAAAACAATAAAGACATTTTGTGTTTTTTTTAAATCCCCAACCTGTGCCACTACCTTTTATTACAATTCTAAAGCCTCTCATATGAAGTTAGTGATTAAATATACTGATGTAAATTTGTAGGTAAGTAGGTACTTGTTGCCTTTTTTCGTCATTCAGGCTTGTGTTATATTATGTGTAAATATGTGTATGTATTTACTTATTCAGTAATTAGCCATTATAATATATGAATATTATTGTTACTTTTATCAAATACGCACGTATCGTGCATACCAAACCGACAGCAAATAGAAGCGTTTTTGTATTTTTAAGTTTTTATATTATGACGTACCTATCTACTAGACATGGGTATTATTGATACTTTTATATCATATTCATTTGAGGAAATAATTGTTATTAGTCACTGTGATTTCATCTGTGATTAATCACTAATTAGATTTGGTGATAGACAAAGATTAATGCCATCAAAATAAATCAAATCGACTTTTGTTTTTTAGTCCTTTCGCGTGTCTGGCACTAGCGTAATAATTAGTCGCAGTGATGTTGTAGATGAGATACAGGTGTATTAAGGAAATTTTAAAATCATATGATTAACTAAATGTGATTGTGATTTTATCCCATGCCTAGTACCTACTAAAAGAAGCAAACTATTAATATTCGACAATTTAATCACACCTACATCCAGTTTCTGTACGATTGTATAAGCACTTGTATAAAAAACAACATACGGTTGTGTAACAAACGATTTAGTACATTGCCAATATTTTAAGAGTTGTTTTACGTAAGAGTATCCACATTTAAACTTGTTTTATAAAATATTCTTTAAAGGAATAGATATTGGTATTCATAAGTACTCATGTACCCTTGTATATCGCAGAAGGTGGACGGGGGTGAATTATACTCACGGTCGCCAAACCTATGCCTAGCGTAGTCTATGAGGCATGTTTCAAAACCATTCAAGACTTTATGAAACTACTTAGGATTTCCTACTAGTGGTACAAAAGAATATGGTACCTGTCAGTAATAGAATTTCCTAAAAGGAAACCCATACATAATTTGCCCTATACCAGAACATAAGCCAGTATATTTCCGTCAGAATAAACGTAGCCTAGGTTGTAGCGTACTATGCTACGGCCAAGGCAGTTGAAAATTATTTTATAAAACCTACACAGAGGATATCCTTAATTAATTTGTAACGCGGTCATTTCTTAATTCACCAATAACATAGAATGCGAATTATTTGACAACAAAATGTCATTTCATACAGTACATACAGAAACTGCTGTTTTGATATTTCATATAAAGAAACTCATTTGCATTGATATTTGTAAACAAACTCATTGTAATTTCTGATTGGATATAATTCAGATTTTCAAATAGAATCGATAAATTTTAGTAATTATAGCTACTATGACCTAAATAAACAACGCTATTCGATAAAAAAAAGCAAGTATTTTGTTTAAAGCTTTGGCTGCTTGCGATGTGTCCATTTATGGTAAGGATTTATTCAGATGCCATCTGGTAATTTAAACTCGAACTTTCGAATTATTTTGTTTTATTTCCAGCCAGCGTCAGCGACACGTCAACACAATTATTTACTTACATGTGTCTTATATATTGGTACTCGTATTTGAAAACCGAACCACTAGAATCTGGTCACTGTGAATCTTTCTTTGACAACGACGTGAAGTTAGCATCGTTCCCCATTAATGCCCATAGCCCAATTAAGTAGCAAAGATGATTGATGAACTCGCAACTCGTAGTAATAGGTTCAAATTAGTTCAGCAGTCCAATTACCATTATGATAAAAATTACTTTCTATGTATTCTTTTTTTTAAACTACATTGTTGAATGATTAATGATTACTGTACTGGTGATTCGAAATTGTTCTCATATTTTTTTTTTACCCAAACAATTTAAAACTTTTTTTTTCATTTCCTGTAGTATGTAGTATATAAGACACGAAGCCAGTATCTTTTTGTCCATATCTGCCTTCACAAATAAAAAAAACATCGTACCCTTAATGGCTCCAATTTCTCTTTAAAATACAACAATTAGGGTTCCGTACCAAAAGAGGTAAAAAAGGAACCCTTACAAGATCACTTTCTTGTCCGTCTGTCAAAATCTGGGTAGGTACGGAACCCTGAGCGCACGAGTTCGACTCTTACCTGACCGGTTTTTTTTAATTCAAATGCCGAGATGCATAAAGACTTGGTCTAGTAGTTGCATAACATCTTCATTCGTTAAAAGATTTTATGCTCTGGGTATCCACGGTTTATGCTCAAATAAATATACTAATATAAATCAATATAACCATAAAATTCAGTGTGGAAGTAAAAAAAATACAACCTTGGACATCCACACCCATTCAATACGCAAATAAGACACCGTAAAACTGTCTTAAGATAACAACAAGCTTTAACAACTTGGCTTTAAGGCTTGACTTTTCAATATCGAATAAACTAAATAAGGCCACATTAACGTAGGAACCTAGATATTGTGTGTGCTGTGAAGTTTGTCGTGTTTGTGCCGTCCCCAGGGGCCGGTCAATGCACCTTCCGTTTCCGAACCGTACCACACCTGCTAATATTATTATTATCGTTTATTTATTTATAGACACCGCCCTCAAGGGCAGTCTTTCGATTAGTTTCAGAATGGATGGTTCAATTGGATGTATAACTGAAATCATGACTTCGTCAGTTATTGGAGTATGAATTTTTCAGAACTAGTTAGTAATCGTCTCATCACAACGCCTATGGACCCGACACTTGGCTGGACCTTATTCTCACCTCCTACCCCTCCCTCGTCCGCAGTCATGGTTAACACTCTGCTCCTGGTTGTTCGCACCATGACTTCATCAAAATGTCCTATGCTGCCATATTCTTAAAAACCGGAATTGTACATCTGCTTCAGGTATCTGGAGGTTCCTTGGAACCCTAGGTATCGGCAAATCCGAAAAATGTAACCTTCCTTCGTCCTTTGATTTGGATGATATTAACCGTCATGTCTACCCATCATTGCAGTTGGATTACCAAATCAAATGTCGGACGTTACAGTTTTTTGGGAGACCTACCCCGTCCCAATATTGAAGCTTTTCAGTTTTCTCCAGTAAAACCAGATGTGGTCAAAAAGATGATCCTCTCAATCAAATCCAACGCCATGGAATGTAATAACATTAACCGTCGAATGATCATCCCTATCCTTGATCACCTTCTTCCCGTGCTTACGCATATACCAATTTTTCTCTTGACTCGGGGACTTATCTCTCATCGTGGCGTAAAGCGTTTGTCATACCCTTTCCCAAGATCCCAAATCCAAAAGTCCTGAATCACCTACGACCAATCTCCATTCTTCCCTTCAGGTTAAAAGTCTTCGAGGCGTGTGTGAGTCAAAGTCCTCGTACTGTGTGAACCAACAATTATGCCAACATATTTACCGTAACGACTTTCTAAGCCCTTTCCAATCGGGGTTCGGGTTCGGGCATAGCACTACTTCCGCACTGCTAAAAGAGACCGGCGTCATCCGAGCAGGAATTGAGAAATCCAAAGTTACTGTGTCGGCTTTGGTTGATTTCTCAAATGCATTTAAAGTCGTCAGTCACGATATACTTCTATTTATCCTTTCCTATCTTATGATAGCGCCTGATACACTGGAATGGTTCTCCTCATATCTTCAAGGCCCCCAACAGTTTGTCCGCGTCGATGACGCCTCTTCAAGTTGGCGTGAGCTTGACTGTGGTGTTCCTCAAGGTGGCATTCTCTCTCCTCTATTAATCTCAATATGTATCAATCTCATCACCTCGAATCTTCAATGTACGTACTATCTTTATGCCGATGACTTGCAACTCTATATCAAGCATCGACAGACGACATAAATGATTAATTTTTTACGGTTAACAATGACCTGGATTCTATTGGCAGTTGGGCTGATGTCTTGGGTTTGGCAGTGAATCCAGCGAAGTGGCAAGCCCTCAGCATAGGCAGTCAGCGCATGACGGGAAGGATGGATCAAGACAAACTGCCACCCATTACTTAAAATACTTATAACTTATATTACATTTCATTTTTTCCATTTAGTCCCTGTCAAGAACCTAGGCTTATTTACTAACTTTTAAACTTTCGCGTTCCATGATAATTAATATTATTTAACGGGAATTAACGCGATCTCTTATTTAGGGTATTAAATGAATAAAACCGCGTAGTGATATCGCATTTTCACGTGAAATTCTAAAAAACGCGAGTGCACGTCTCCTGAGACAATTAATTCGAAACAAACACAGTGATTTGGAGTATATACAGAGGGAGTCATATGCGTTACAATTAAAGTGCAGTGTTAATCTATCTCAATCGGACTATGATTTGTGTGACCGGGTTACGTTTTTACAAGCGAGTCGTACCTTCGAGTTATGTAGTAAAAATTTTGATCGAAAGTTCTCGAAGGAATATAATCGACGGTATACAGAAAATAAAGCGTCACCCGGGGTACCCGAGAGATCGAAGGACACCGTTGTAAACTTGTCAAACGTGAGTTTAGATGACACAACAATGAACATCTTGGCTAAAGGTATGAACTTCGCTCCGACACCTAAACGAATACCGTTCGA